CTAGACTTTTACTCTATGTATGCACCAGGGAAATCCTAGTGTGGGGCCAGTAACAGAGTGGCGTTACCACTCTCAAAAGTCTTCCTCTGGCCATTTCCAGACCTGTCCAGTTCGTGGAGTCGGAGTGTCATGGCTGAGGTCCACTTGGGGTCCTTCTGAGAATGGACTGTGTTACCCAGTGTGAGACGGAGCCTGATATTCTGTTCTTCTTTCCAGGGTGTTTTCTAAAAAGAATATTGAGAGTGATAGGGTTTTGTACAAGCCCCTGGCTGTGAGAGAGAAAAGGCAGGGAGCTAAGGGTTGTCTGCCCCTCTGTGCTTTGGTCCAGGTGTGTGACCCCTGACTTTTCCAGGGACCACATGTGGCTATCCTGGAGAACAACCAATCCATTACTGTGAGCTCAGGCCCCACCTTCCTGGTCAGCAGAGTTCAGCAGGGGAAAGGATTTGTGCTCATCTTTGCCAAACAGGTTTTTAGACAGTCAGAGATGGCTATTAAGATTGTTTCAGAAAAAAAAAAATTTAGTTCCCACCACTTGGCCTCGTTGTAAATGGGAAATGAGGGCTAAGCTAAATAAAATGAGAGAGTCTTAGAGTTGACTGGAAAGAATGGTCTTTTCCAATGTAATGTAAACTGATTTGTTTATTCAGCAAATTTCTTTTAGAACTGACTGCTGAATGAAATGGATTCGGGGGTGGGAAGAAACTAGCTTCTTACAATTTCTGAAAAGGTGCTCCTGCCTCCTGAGGAATGTTGCTAATGAATTTCAGAAACTTGGTCAAATACCATGGAGGGACTCTAGATCCTGGTCTGGTTGCATGGCATTAAGGGGGCTGTCAACACACTCCCTTGAGGACAGTTTTGGGTGTCCTGGTATCTGGGCCTCATTTTACGTGTTTAAATGTTTACTAGCTGTGTTACATGGTTCCCTGAGAATGTTTGCACAGTAGAAAGGGACTTATTACATTAGCTACAAGGTAGGGCTGGGTGACTGTGGTCGTCCACACACTGGAGAGGCTGAGCGTCCGTGGCTGGTCAGTCCATAAGGCTGGTTGCCTCACGGGTCCCAGTCTTGGGCCGAGGGTCTGGAGCTCTCTGGAAGTGCTGAGACTGAATCCTCCTTCTTCGGAGGGTCAGAGAAGCCGCCATGTCAGTGGAGGACGGCACGGCAGAGATGGGAGCACTCAGGGAAGGAGCAGAGGATGGCACGGCAGAGACGAGAGTGCTCTCGGGGGAAGGGGAGGAGGACGGTGCTGCACAGATGGGCGTGCAGGTACCTTGGCATTGAAGATGCAATCCCTCCGAGTCCCGCTGCTTCCTGTGGGGTGCTGTGGACTTTGCCTCTCCTCCCCACCTTAGAACATGCCCCTCTTGGAAGTCCCTGTGTTACCAGTATTCTGTCACTGTTAATATGTCTGCTGGTCCCTCTCTTGCACCCACTGTGCTGTAAACTGTTAACTCTTTGAGAACAGATGTCACATCTCTGTACCTCTGGACCTGCTTCATTCTGACACCTGATGAGTCCTGTGGTGTAAACCAAAATGATAAGTAGTTGACTTCTGTGGCCCCCTGTCTCTGTTGATGGCTTGTCCTGCTCTGACAGCTGGGGTGCATCCACTTTTTCAGGTGAGGCTAACTTAAACCCTCCTGGACCGTAGTGAGTGCAGCTCCAGTCTGGATTGGAGTATTTTCTTCTTGCATACCCAGTGTGACTCAACTCTCACCATAGTGTTGAAATGAGAAGTTTTAGCCAATTCATCCTGAATTTCACTCAGTCTTCCAGTGTTCAAGTATTGTGTAATCTTGATAAGCACATACACTACACTGTCCTTCGAGCCTTTGGTAACAATATTGGATGGAACGGGGATTGCACTAGACAGTGTGGCATGTACTGCAGGGTTCATTCCAAGAAGACACTCATGTTTATTCACCACTCTGTGTTGGCTACAGATCTATCCTAGGCTGTCTTGTGTGCAGACAGACTTCCAGATATTTTCAGTGCTGCTGTTAAAGCAAGGACATGGGGCACCAGTCACAGCCCTCTCTTGTTAAATGATGACAGTCAGGCCGTTGGCTCTTTTCCTTCCGAACCCAGATTGGCTCCCGGAACCAGAGATTCTTCCCTCCATTTTCATAAATTCGTTATGTCTTTTAAAAATATTTATTATTATTTTTATTTTTTGTGTATGAGTGTATTGCCTGCATGTATGTAAGTGTACCCATGCTGTGCAATGCCCGTGGAGGTCAGAAGAGGGTTTCAGATCCCCTAGAGTTACGGACGGTTGTTAGCCACCATGTGGGTGCTGGGAATTGAACCCGGGTCCTCTCCAAGAGCAGCCAGTGCTCTTAACCACTGAGCATCTCTCCAGACCCAAGGTTATGTCTTAAAATTTTGTTAGCATCTTGTCTCAAACTTAATATGTAGTCTTTAATATGTGAATTTACTCTATATTTTTAGATTAAAAATATTTACAAGCATTGCTTTCTTTAAGAAGTAACATGATTGGGGCTGGAGAGATGGCTCAGTGATTAAGAACACTGTCTTGTTGCAGAAGACCCGGGTTCGAATCCCAGCACCACACGGCAGCTAACAACTGTCCGTAACTCCAGTTCCAGGGGATCCGACAGCCTCTTCTGTCCTCAACGGGCATTGGACGACACAGGTGCACTTACCTACATGCAGACAATATATGCACACACATAAAATAAAAATAATAAATAAAAATTTTTTTAAAAAATAACATGATTACATTGAAAGACTTTGTATAGGTGGAGTATTTGGGAGGGAGTGGTAAATCCACATTATAGGAACAGTGACAGACTTCACATCATTGTTGAAGCTTGCAGAACAGTTTGTCAGTAAACTATTAAAAATTATAGACATATAGAATTTTGAATTTATATTCTAATATCTAATTACATACTTTTAGTTTGAGAATTATATCAGTTTTGTTATTACTGTACTTTATTTATTTTTTTTTTTTGACTTCCCAGATTGTGATTTTTATCTCTAGAAGTTCAATTAGGGCATAGGTAAAGGCACATTGGGACTGTAGAAGAGTATTTGAAAGATAATGGAAAACCTCTTGGTGCCTGGTGATGGAGAGGTCCCGCATCAAGGCTTGGATGCTCAGGATTGTGTGTGGAGTAGGACCACAGCGGGCCCTCAGGGGAGGTGGGAGGTCCATTTTAGAAAATCAGTTCTCCCAAGACAAGAATCTGCAAATACCAGAAGCCTCTTCTGTCCCCAATAAGAAGCAAAGCCTCTGCCATGCACCGCCTGGGACCTCAGGGGAGGGGATTGTGGAAAGTATAGTCACTCAGAGACTCAGTGCCCAACATTGGGAAGTCCTCCATGCTCTATTCTTCACCATCAGCCTACCACCAGGGGGATGTGCGACAGAGCCTCACAGTGTGTGTCCAAAGTTTCCAGCTCATGGGAGGGGGATCACAGGTCAGGCTCACAGGAGGGGACTACTGTTCCAGCCCCCAGGGTGGAACACAGCTCCTACTCACAGGGAGAGGAGGGGAGGGAGGGACCATAGCTCTAGTTCACAAGAACTATATGCTCCGTGGAGTTGTGGTCCCCTCTTGTGAGCTAGAGTTATACTTCCTGGCTATTTCCTTATGGAAAATTCCTGGAATTGGAACTTTCAGCTAATGAATACACACCCTTCTTTTTCTGTGTGTGTGTGTGTGTGTGTGTGTGTGTGTGTGTTTGCATGTGTGTAGGTGCACACGTATGTGGATGTGCCTGCTTGTGGAGACCCTAGGTTGATGTCAGGAATAATCTATCATTCTTTCACCTTAATCACTGAGGCAAGGTCTCTCAATCAAACCCAGAGCTCACTGATACAGCTAGTCTCCACAGTCAGTTTGCTCAGGGGATTCCCTCTCTCGACCTTCCAAGGCTAGAATTACAGATGGGCCACCACATCCACCTGGCATTTATGTGGCTTCTGGGGATAGAAACTCTGGCCCTCACGCTTAAGAGAATTAACCTCTGAGCCGTCTCCCTAGTCTGGTGCACACTTTTTGAAGAGTGTGTTTTGCCTTGTCAATCAGCAGCCTCCCAACTTGAACAGCTATTGACTGCTTGTGAGAGGTTGATTTCTGTCATTACAACACTGATACGTGAATTTTAAATGAGTAGTTTAGTTGGTCTGGAGAGCTCAGCCCAGTGCAGTGTGGGAACAGTGTGAAATCAGCCCTGGGGGAATGGGTGCTTAGGGTGCTTCTTCCAGAGTCTCTGAATCGCAAACTCAGTCTTACCCGTGTTACCCATTTTGGCGCTCTCTGGACGGGAGCGTTCTGATTTCCAAGAATGTGATTAACAGTCGTGGCTTCTGGTGGCACCACAGCTGAGGGCACTCTTTGTGCCTGGCTCGTCCTTGTGGCTTCTGTTCTTCTCCAGTGGCTGTGACTCTGACACCAGCACTTGGGACCCTCAGTTGCTGGAAGGATCTGGCAGCAAGGGCAAGCAGGGCGGCATGCAGGGAGCGAGGGGGAAGCAGGCTCCGGCCACCTCTATCTGCCTTCGGTGAGAAGTCTGAGTTTCCTTAAAGATACTGTCTAGGCATTGATTTCTACAGGCGAGTCCGTTCTGAGACAGGAAAAAGCCAGTACATACACAAACATACACTCTAATCATGGCTGAGACTCAGTTAAAACAGTTCTCAAAGACTAGAGAGAGGGGACTTGGTGGGTAAGAGCACTTGCTGCTCTTGCAGAGGACCTGATTTGGGTTCCCAGCACCTATGTTGGATGGCTCACAACTGCTTGCTACTCTGGTTACAGGCGCTCTAACGCCCTCTTCTGGCCTCCATGGACACCTGCACTCAGGTGACATATACACACAATGCACACATATACACATAAATAAAAATAAAGATCAATCTTAAAACAATTATGAAATAACCCATCTTCTTAAATGGTGGATGGAGTCCCTGGTGCTTATGACTAATACAGGTTTTTATATTTTTATTCCTGCTTTTTTACAGGCTGAATATATTTCTGACGGGCATGAACACTTTTTACTTCCATGCAGTGAACGTCATTTTGCACTGCCTGGTGACCCTTGTGCTGATGTATACCTGCCATAAAACTGTCTTCAAGAGCCGCGGGCTTGCTTTTGTCACGGCCCTGCTTTTTGCGGTGCACCCTGTTCACACCGAGGCGGTGAGTATAACAAACAGCTGAAACGTGTATCTGCTTATACCAGCCAAACATGTCACCCCCCGAGTCACGTGTTGAAAGCCCTGTGCTTGTTTACCACTCCACTTGACAACTCCCTTCTTGCACATTCACGTTCGCTCTCCCCAGGATTTAGCTGCTTCTCTGCAGAGGTGCTGAGATTATTATATGGAGTAATGATTTCCCCTATTATTTATTTATAGAGAATTTAAATCCCATGCATTTTTAAGTAGCAGGGGGTGTTTTGAGACTCTTTCCAGTCTGTCCCCACCCCCCTCTCCTTCCTCTCTCTGTTTTATGTCTGTATTTATGAAGCAGAACTCTGAGAGCTAGGGGATGGAACAGAAAGGCTAGACTCATGACATTCTCCAAGTGGGAAAGACAGACTTGGGTGACTTGTAAATTGTTTTCCAAGTTATTTGTTAAAGAGTCAGCTATTTTATCTGTGGAAGAATTTGTTCCAAAAGTATTGCCTGTTTGGATCCGTGACCCTCTTTCAAAGGGTTGGTCCACCACCACCACAGGGCAGTTGCACATACAAACCTACAGTGCCTATGAGAGCATGCACAAGACCTGTGCGGGTCCAAGCCAGACGGGCCTAGCATGGGCAGGAGAGGTGGGCAGGAAGCCCGAGCCCTAGCTGAAGACCTAACAAGGAGAGCCCCTTGCGTTGATGTAGGTGGAGGATGAGGCACTTGGAGCTCCGATGGTATCAGGCTCCCCTGGGCACGTTACGCCTCATTTTAAAATGCCAGTATTTATAGTGTGTGGGAAGTTAGATCCTTTTGAGTATTTAAAATTATGATGACAAGTTTTAGATATGAAGTTAGATGAGACAGATGCTTTCTGATGTTCTTTGTGAATATACGAATAAAAATAACCAAAGACCACTCCTGGTGTGTTTTATTGAAGGCCAAGATGATGCTGTATTTTTGACAAGTTTTTAAAGTACAGTTGACAGTCTGCACTTTGAGTGTCTCTGAGACAGTTATTGTAGGAAAGATCAACTGATTGTGCAGTTACTTTGAATTCAGTGGCCGAGGAGAGAGTGTGCACAAGCCAGGCAACCTTGGGCAGTGTGATCAAGAGCTGATAAGAGTTTAGGTTGGATTCTAAAAAAAGGCAAATCCTATTAGCAAAATGACCTTTAGAACGGGGTTTCCAAGGGCTTTTGTGCTAATAAAAAATCCGTAGTAACACAATTAAAGCAGCATAGGTGTCACAGAGCCAGGCAGTTACTTGGAGGACGGGGAGGTGGTGAAGAAATCTGACCCAGCAACCATTTACACTACAGAGCAAAGTAGAGACTGCTATTTAATTATAGATTTAAGTTCAGGTTTCTAGGGAGGAGGCCAGAGAAACAGAAGACGCGATGTTCTTTATAGATGATATGGTGATAAATTATTAAGCACGCACATGTGAGAGGCAGAGGTGTTGGGGGAGAAAGCTACTGAGAGGGAGCTCATTTTTGTTAACAAGAACAAAAATGGGACCATATGTTACTTCAGGAAGGATGAAGAATCTAAGATTTGGGGGTGGTGTTTGGTTTAGACACTTGATGTGATTGTGTGTCAGTATGTTGGTGCGGTTAATGGCTTTCTTTATAAGTTACATAATTAACAAATAGCTCGTCAGTACAAGCTTGTAGGGGTTAGATGATTATGGGGGTGGAGAGCAGGGATCACCCCACAGTTTATTCACAAGTTCACAGAAAGCCAAAGGTAGACACACAAATAGAAGTGATGTCGGAACTGTTAACTCCTGACCAAGTACAGAGGGACACACACACTTAGTCTCCTCGGTCTTTCAGGAAGTAGTTGAACGTGTTTGATATGTGTCTGTAACAGAGCGGCCCTATAGGGTAGGGTGGTAAGTAAGGTGGACCTAGACTTGTCTCATTTAAGGCCTGGAGAGTCTTGGGCAGGTTTCTGAACCTTGTATTTCTTTAAAAAAGGATGATTTTCTGAATGCTACATCATGAGAAAAATGAGCAGAATTTGGGAAAATAATTGCAGTTCTATGAAAATGTAAACTAGGTCATCATAGATGTTACTGGTTTGCAGAAGTGAGCTGCTGTCTAGATAAAAGAACAGGGAATGTGAAGATTTGGGCCCACATTGCCAGACTTGGGACAGAAGAGCCCAGGGGAAAATTGGCCATGATCTAATCGGTCTGGCTGGTAGCTGCCGCCGCATGTTGGGTTCACATTCCTGGCTCTGTCTGATGCTAATGGAGCTCAGTCTTGCAGATAAAATAAATATTAGTAACTTTATATAGAGTGTACTGTATACAGGTCCAAAAATAACACATTATAGTTTGAGGGCAAATTGACTTCTAATAGGCATTTTCCATGAGCGATTCTGTTATCCTGACTGGCAGGTCCACATGTCCCTTAGAGCACAGACATCACTAACCTCAGAATCCCTAATCCCAAGTCCTCTAAAGCCTGACCCTTTTTGAGTGCTGACACGTTTTTACAAGTAGAAAATTCCACACCTGATCTCACAGCCACACTAAAAATACTGTATAATGTTACCTTTAGACTGTATAAAGTACGTAAAAACACAGGTGAAATTTTATGTTTAGTCTTGGGCCCATCCCTAAGCTGTCCCTTCAGGCATTCATGCAGATATTCCGGAATCTTTAAAAAACAAACCTGAACTCTGAGACTTTTGGTCTCCAATCTCCAAGCATTTCAGGTACGAGAGGCTCATCGGATTTGCCTCTGAGTTATATTCACTGATGCTGTCTGGTGTTTTAACAGTTGTCGCTGTCCCCTGCAAGATCCTGTAGCTTGTGGCTGAAACACTTGCTTATAGTTTCACTCACCGTGAGCTGCCCAATTGCTCTTTTACCTTTGAGCACTGACAGGTTTACCTGGCGTTTTCACAGTGTCACCTCCACCTGGTCCATCTTAACTATCCCCGTCTGCTGCCCGTTGGCCCTCGCCCCCCTCTCTCCACTGACTTCGTGTGCTCCGTCCCTTCTGTTTTCCCTTCTCATCATACCACTCCTCTGTCCTCCAAGTGGGGCGCGTGTTCATTCTTCCCCTGGCCCTGCTCCCCAGTTCTGAGCTTCCTAAAATCTTTCTCCTTTAACTGTCTGATTGTAAAGCCAGCTCTTCTGTAAGGCTTCCTGGTCCTCCTCGTGATGCGTGTAGTCTTGGATTGTTTTTCATGCCCTTGTCTGACTCCAGCAGATGTTCAAGTCCCTGAGGCAGGTGGCCCCCTCCAGCTGGCACAGTACCTGCTTGGAAAGTTCTCAACTGGAATGAAGCACATAGTCACTGAGCATGATACACGGACTAACGGTCACAGGGAGTGGCAGCTCTAGCAATGCAGTCAGTGGGGACCACCACCTTGTTTTAGATGTTGAACACTTTGCACCAAAGACCTCAGCTCACCAGAGGTACAGATAGATATTCAGTGCATGCGTTGTGGTTTGGCCTTGTTGGGAGCTTTGAAGTATCAGCTCCAACATTTTAAGACCCTCTCTGAGCTTCTGCTTGGTGGTTTCTACATCTTGTTATTGTTGACCCTGGGGGCTTACTATGTGGTCCAGACTGGCCTTGAACTCGTGACCCTCCTGCCTCAGCCTCCCAGTGCTGGGATGACCCACATGAGTTACCATGCCCCGCTAGTATTTTCTCTGGCTCAGTATGTTCAGCCAGCGCATTCTGTTGCTGCTTCTAGACTGTACCAGAGGGAGCAGCAGGACCTCAGGGCACCTTGCAGGCACTGGTTATGCTTGCCTAGCTCGTGATGCCCTGGCTCCCTCCATCCGGGAGCGGCTCGCAGGTCTTGCTGTTGTTGGTCCTATCACTTGTGCTGAAATGAGCTTTCCTCTAGGCCTTACCCCAAGACGCCATGGCAGGCTAGGCTAGCTGGCTTTCTGCTTACTCTGGGAGGCGTTGTGGTGATGCGCAGCCGAGTAGGTCAAGGCAGCAGAGTCCACTGAGTCCACCTGAGCGTCACATGGGACCTGTGCACAGTTGTTGCTCCACAGCCCAGGTCTGAGTCAGGCCCCTTGGAGTTCATGCACCGTCACCACCTGCCCCTGAGTCATGCCTGAGAGGTGAACCTTGTCTGTCTCCCTTGTACGTGGCTCCTCATCCAGCCCTTTGGGAATCTTCCTTGGAAATATTTTAAACTGTACTGATATTTCTCTTTATAATTTTATATCTTGAATTTTTAAAACTGAAATGGAATGCACATACATCTGCAGCAAAATGACAGCGATTTGCGGAGCAACCTGTCTCCTGCTGCATGCCCGTTGCAGCCTCTGAAGCAACACTTGAAAAATAATTTCAAACTTTGCACTCACACTGGTTCTGTATTCTTTCACCAGGCTCACTAATGTTTTAACATTTACCAATTTTCTTTCATTCTTCTTTTTATTTCCCTCTATAAAATAGTTTGTTTTCTGAAGCAGTTAGAGAAGGCTGTGTAATTCTTGCTCCTTTATATATGAATAATTGAGTTGTATTTCCTAACACTGAGCACATTCTTCATGGCTTCTCGTGAGTCTTTTTTAGTTTGGAACACTGTCTTTCTATAATAGAATGTATAAATATTAATATGGTTGGCGTTTATGTTAAACTGTGTGTAGTATAAAATGTTTTGAATATTTTAGAATGCAGTGTCTCAGTGTTATATAAATATCTGTTATATATGTTACATAGTGTGTCACAGCAACACTTACAGGTGTAGTACACTGAAATTTATGCAGTGCAGATAAAAAGAACACACATCACTGTAAATGTGTAATATATATTATAGATGTATAAACTTTTATATCAATATCTAGGTAAATAAAACATATTTATACTAGGCTTTTAGGTATATAATCTTATAGATTATAAGTGGTAACAATTAGGAATCATGATAAATAAGGTTAAATTAAAATTAATACAAATGTAGTGTTGTAAGATCTTAGTATAAATGCATATACTATAATTTTAAGTATGCATTTATGTTTAATAGTATAGTTACATCCACATTCTTTTTTACATTAAAAATTGTATGAATGTTTTGCCTGCATGTGTGTAAGTATACTTGCGCAAGCAATGCCCATGGATGCCAGAAGGGAGCGTCGGATCCCCTAGACCAGGAGTTACAGACAGTTGTTAGCTGCCAAGCGGATGCTGGGAACTGAACCTGGGTCCTCTGTGAGAGCAGTCCATGCTTCACCTCTCCAGCCCTGTGTGTCCACATTCTCATGAATCGTGTCTCACCCTGTGTGAGTTTTCTCTTCTCTGTGATTAGGTTTCATTTCCTTGGCTAGACTCACGCCTGGATAGTGTCTCTCTCAGGGAGGAGGACTTAAATTTCCAGTGGAGGTGGTGTGCCCTGAAACACACTTTCTCCACAGTGCAAGCATCATTTTACTTTTCTAAAGAAGGTGAAGAGGAATGCTTTGTGCCATGTAGACCCTGCATCCCACAGAACTTTCGTGTTCTAGTGAACATCTGTTATTTTCTTGTTTCCTGGTGCTGGGGACTGAACCTGGGCTTTGAGCTTGCTAAGCGATGAGGGCTTTGCCACTGTTCCACACTCCCTGCCCTGTTGCTGTTTCTGGTGTTTCTTGCTCTGTCCAATTCTAGAAGCAACTGATTTCTTTCTAACTTCTCTCCCCTTCCATGTGTGCTGACAGGCTTCTCCTGAAGCCGAGTCTCCTAGCTTGTTCATTTGCTCATGGTTCATTTTTATATACCACAGCCTTCATCATCTATATATTATCCACACAAATTATGGGTTTCTGTGTTTCCAATGGTTTCCAGTATATTATGCTTCTAACTTATTTTCAGTCAGTTTTCTTAGATTTGGTCGGTGGGGCCCCCTTTCTTTGGGGTCTCTGCCCTCTGACTGTCGTTTCTAGGCACCTTTGTTCTTCTGACTCAGCTACTCTTGCGTCTCCCCAGCCCCAGCCCGGGTACCAAGTCCTTTTCCAGGTGCCAGTGCTGTCTGAAGTGGGGCGAAGGATTATGGTACAGATAGGTTTGCTACCAGGGTATCTTGCTCATAAGCATTTTTAGTGACAGAGCTAAGAAACCACACACACATGCACACACACACACACACACACACACACACACACACACACACACACACACACACACACACACACACACACACACACACACTCTTGGATGAGTATACACTGGGTAGCAATCACAAGCCCCTCCATTATTACAAGTATAGATCCCTCAGCTAGTGTTTTACGTCCCCTCTGTGAATACTCTGTTATCAGAAGATAAGCACAGTGCTCGACACTCAATGTGTTTGCTCAGAGGGTTTATTGGGACCAATCTCCAGCACTGCAGTCTAGTCAAGCACTTCACGCCCGAGCTACATTCCCAGCCCTTGAAACAGTTTTATTTTTTTTTCTGAGACAGGCTCTCCCTGTAGCTCCAGCTGGCCTGGAACTCACTACGTAGACCGTGCTGGCTTCCATCTTAAAGAAATCTGCCTGCCCCTGCCTCCTGAGTGCTGAGATTAAAGGCATGTACCACAGTGCCCGGCTTGAAACATTCTTTTAAGAATGCCGTCAATGGCCCCTCTGTGGAGGAGAGACTAGAAATACGTGAAGTATGAGAATTTGCCTCAAAGTTTCCTTTTTTCTTCCCATCAGCTCTTTTTGACACATGTGTAACAATCAGAGGCAGTCAGAGGTGCTGCTTGGTCCACAGATCAGCCTGGGGATGACTTTCTTTACACTGTACATGCTCTTACTAGGCCTTGGGCTCCTTCTGTAAACTAAACATATAGCATCAATTTCTCATGACCGTTCCTTGTCCGTGATCCATAATAATTCATGTGTATGTTATGAAAATACCAAGTGCTGAAAGCGGATATTTTTTGTTGGAAGCAACAGGTGGAATTAGATTGATGACATCTGCAGTTGTGTCTGCTGGACTGGGTCAGTAGGGGTCAGAAAGGGAGAATCCTCTGGTAAAAGAGTTCCTTTTTCCTCCCCCAAATTGTGCTGATGTACTGTTTAAATAAAAACAGAGCAAGTCCTCGGCTCAGGGGGCAGCTCTGGGGGAAATGAGAAGTTCTCAGGACAGATTGAGCTCACTTGGGGCCTAACCAACGTGAGGGGTCCGGGCACCGCTGTAATGTGGAATTGTGTTGCTATAAGTCAGCACTTGTATGCCTTGCATTTTATACCTCCCACATCAAATCCATTTCTGTAAGATTTTCTGACGGTAATTCTGAGCTTTGAATTTTTTATTGTGTTACACTTTCTAGGTGGCTGGCATTGTGGGCAGAGCTGATGTGTTAGCATGTCTTCTGTTTCTGCTGGCCTTCCTCTCCTACAATAGGTGAGTGGGGGCAAGCATACCCTTCTGTGACTTTAGTCACATACTGCCGTGTGTGCACTGAGCCTCTGCATGAGGGGAGGGAAACTCTGGACTGTCACCTGATCAGTGGGCGTCAGGGTAGGAGCCCTTCTTTTACCTAGTGTTGGGCTCTTATCTTTCCAGCCCCATTCTGAAGTATATAATACTTTCTTGTGTGTATGTGTGTGTGTGTGTGTGTGTGTGTGTGTGTGTGTGTATGTGTGTATGTGCGTATTTCTGTATGCTTGTATGCATGTGAGTGCTTGTGCACGTGTGTGTGTGTATGTGCATATGGAGACCAGAAGTTAATGTTGGGTGTCTTCTCCAGCCACTCTCCATTTTATTATTATTATTATTATTATTATTATTATTATTATTTGAGACAGGGTCCTCCTGTAGCCCCAGCCAGCCTGGAACTCGCTATGTAGATCAACCTGTCCTTATTCTTACAGAGATCCACCCGCCTCCACCTCCTGAGTGTTGGGATTAAAGGCCTAGGTTACCACACTCAGCTGTCTTATCTTTTAAGATAGGGTCTCACTGAACTTGGTGCTGTCTCACTGGTAGGCTAGGTTGGTTGGCCAGCGAGCCCTGGGGTTCTGCCTGTCCTGTCTTCATGTGTATATACCCACACATGGATACATGCGTATATACATAATGAAAAAAATCATTAAAAAGTTACCTAATATATGTACATGGAAAATAAATTCAAGTAAACAGATTATCTAAAAGAAAAGAAAAAAGTTGGAAACATCTGGTTTCCACTGAAGACTGAAATGTTATTATATATCCCCGTTTTGAGCACATAAAGCACTCTGGTCCAATCACGAGGGTGGATACTCGGTGTTTACCACTTTCTCAGCCCTCCCTCCCACGCTGCTCTCCCAGGTCTGTGGTCTGATATTTTCTTTGTTAACTGCACAGCTATGATTTGAACCAGGGACTCTGGCCCAGAGCTCGTCCATACTTGTTAGGGGCCTGTGTTGTTCGCTTAAATGCTTTCCCACCTCACTAAATCTATCCGTATGGTAACAGTTAAAATGACTTTTTAGTGTACGTTATATACCATATTAATTTAAGTACCAAGTTTAGTAAGCTTAGACTTTTTTCCCATACTGAAAAAATTTTGTTTTTTAATTGTGGTTGTGTGTGTGTGTGTGTGTGTGTGTGTGTGTGTGCATGTGCCTGTGGACACATCTTAGAGGCTATAGGAGGGTGTTGGATCTCCTGAGTTACAGTTGGCTGTGAGCTACTTGGTGTGGGTGCTGAGAACTGATCTCTCTTCCTATGAAAGAGCACCAAGCAGGATTAGCCTCTAAGCCATCTCTCCAGCCCATCACGTAACAGTCTTAAATAACTGCATGGTGACACTCTTGAAGAAGTCTTTGCTTACCTGTTTGATACTAGATGCATCTTTAAAAGCTGCTGTTTCTAGAGATTCGTGTTATTGGATGAGGATCTGTCCAACTTGCTTTGCAGGAGTCTGGATCGGGACTGTGCAGGGCAGTGCTTCCCAGCCACAGCCTCTCCCTTCTTCCTGATGCTCAGCTTGTTTCTGGGGACCTGCGCCATGCTGGTGAAAGAGACGGGCGTCACTGTGTTTGGAGTGTGCTTGGTTTATGATCTCTTTTCTCTCTCCCACAAGCAAGACAAGTCGTAAGTCATTCCCACCTGTGCTACTGTTTTAGTTACTTTTCTTGTTGTGAGAAAACACGTGACTGAAGCAGCTTAGGGAGGAAGGCTTGCTTCGGTACATGTTGCTTTGAGGGTTCGGTCCGTCAGTGGAGAAGGCAGGGTGGTTGGCGTGTGAGGCTGCTGGTCACATCCACAGTCAGGAAGAAGGAGAGATGTATGCTGCTGCTCAGATCACTTTGTTCTTTTGTTTGGTCCAAGACCCTAACCCATGGGATGGATCCGCCCACATCTGGGTGGATCATCTTCAACTATACCTCTCTAGAAACACCCATATAGACACATCTGGTCTTCGAGATGGTTCTAAATCCAGTCAAACTGACAATGACTATGAATTCTCATAGTTGCCAAGTACTGCCTGGATGGAAAAGAGTTACTTAAGATGATAGTTTCCAAGCTTTCAATGAAAAAGCGCTTTTACTGATTTATTATGATTATGTGTACAAGTGCGTAGCTTGCATGTATATAAGTGCACCTGTGTCATGTGATGCCCTCCAGGTCAGAAGAGGGTATCAAATCCCCTGGAACTGGAGTTTCAGATGGTTGTTAGCAGCTACATGGGTGTTGGGAACCAAACCCAGGTCCTCTTGAAGAGCAGACAGTGAACATAACCACTGAGCCATCTCTCCAACCCCAAAACAACACTTTTAGATTAAATGTAATCTCACCTCTAAAATATGATAAGACTTGTTTCTTTAGGATAAATTCTTAATTTATTTTAAAAATATTTTATTATTTTTATTTTACGTGTATGAGTGTTTTGCCTGCATGTGCGTAAGTGTACCATGTGGCACAATGCCCACAGAGGCCAGAAGAGGGGGTCAGATATCCTGGAATGGAGTTATGGAGGCTGTTAGCCACCATGTGGGTGCTGGGAATTGAACCTGGGTCCTCTGGGACAACAGCAAGTGATCTTAACCACTGAGCCATTTCTCCAGCCCCAAGATAAATTTTTTATAAGATATAAAAATTTTAAAATAAAAATGCATTTTCGTACTTCCTAAGTTCAGCAAGGTCCCTGAAGTTTCTAGATGCTCCACTTTTAGAATGAGAAGAAGCTGTATTAACTGCTGCTCAGCATAACTGGCTTGTTTATGGTCACAGACAGCTAAGGAAATCTTGATTCACACAGAGTAGTTGTTTTACAAATAGTAATTTGTTAACAGCTTGTTTGAAGTCTCCAAGTTCAGATGCCTGTCACCCATCAGCCAGCTCTGAAGACTTGAAGCCTCTCTGGTTGCTCTAGTCACGTGACTCTAACTCAGGCCTTAGGAAGAACCTCTTGGTGTTTCACCTGTTTTAGGAAGAGCCTGACGTAGCCAGTTGGCCACTCTATCTCCCCCTGTGCTTTTCCAGGTTCAGAGCAAACGTTCTGAGTAGCTCATGTGTTTCCTGAAAACGGCAGGTGCACTGGTTTCTTCTGTGGATTAGCATCTGTATGCTAAGAGTGACCGAGGCATGTTAGAAGTACAGGTGTGTCCTGCAGTGCTGCTCATAAAATCCACAGTTCTCTATAGGTCTGCATGCAGACCTTGGTTTTTGTTTTTAGTATTGTAGGACTTTTAGTTTTGAACTTTTCAATAAAGTGTCTTGTCACATGGGGAATTTATTTTTAAAAGAATCCTTCCCTTTTTTTTTTCTTTTGAAACAGTCTCTCTGTAGCCCCGGCTGGCCTGGAACTTGCTGTGTAGACCAGGCCAATCTCATAAAGATCCACCTGCCTCTGCCTCCTGGGTGCTGGGATTAAAGGTATGAGCCACCATGCCCAGAAATCCCACTTTAAAAAGTCTCATTTCCTGCTTCTTTATGTTAATGACACACAGATCTGAGCAGTGCTCTTGAGCGACCACAAGTCAGGATGACGAGTCATTAAATTCAGATCACTTTCTACCTAGAAGTCTGGCACTTGGAGATAATTTAAATAGACTTTAGTGTTCTGGTGGCTCTCTGTAATCTCAAGGGCTTGTAAAAGGAAGGAGCTCAGTAACAAGTGTGACTCAGGCTTATGTGAAAACCCTGAGCAGAAGAACTTCCCCTTGAGAGGCCTGTGTGGGGACCGTTACTGCATCCTGTGGCAGGTGGGCGTAATCACAGAGCCTGCCTCATCCTCCGAGAACAGCACATAAACCCCTCTTTCTTCCCACTGGCCTTGTGTGCCACCTTCCAGCATCTGTCTGCTCTGCCTCAGTGATGTGATAGCCGACCTCAGGTGTACCCTCCTTGTGGTCCTCTCCAGAGCTGTTTTAATGCCACCTTCCTCTGGTCTGGGACCCCTCCAGGCCACCGTACTCTTCATTCTGTCACTGCTGAGCCAGACCTGCCTTAAAGTGGACAATGGTCTTTTCTTTTGTGTTCCTTAACATCCTCATACTGAGCTGCTAGAAGTTCCACAGAAGGGATAATACTGCTGAGCCATACAGCTCGTTTGGGGGCAGTTTTTACGCCCCCCCCCCAGCACTGCCTCAGTGCAGGTGAATTTCGTTCGTTCTTTCACCCTGTCACTGTGCATTCAACATGTTTTCAGTCCGGATGACAGCGGGATGTCAGCCCTTCACTTGGGCACAGAGGGCACAGGAGCGATGCACCAGCAGCTGACTACACTTGTGAAAAGCGGTGAGCTGAGAGCTTAGAACAGGAGGACCTGGCCCAGGTCTGTGTGGCTGGCGCACTGGCTGTGTGCTGGGCACCATGTCCTGCCAGTGTTTACTTCACAGAGGAGAAAAGTCTCAGGAAGACCCTTCCACAGTCACTCAGCCCATGTGCCAGCAGGATTTGAACTCACCACTGTGTGGTTCCAGAGCTGAAGACTGCTGACTCCATGGAGGAAATGTCCCACAGGAATTTGGGAGAATACAGGATGTTAGCTGCTCAGGCACCAGGAGGCAGTCACAGCAGTTCAGAGGTCCCCAGCGTATGCAGGAACCCCTTTGGGAACTGACCAAAAGGTGTTGCGGAATAACGTACCCCTCAAGGTGTTCTGCACAGACTAGGGCTCTCCCTCTACCCCCTTTAACTTGGAATAAGTGTCTCCCTGCTGTGCAGCTCTTGAGACCTTTCATGGTCTGACTGCACCAGGAGCTGAAATGTCACAGAAACACACTTTGTATCAGAGGAGTAATTCCTGAGCTTGAACATTGGGCCACAGGAGTGGGGTGGGCACAGGCGTGGTAGAACTTACTTCATTTGAAGAAAGAAGAAACTTTGGGAAGATCAGCTTCTGAAAGTCAGCTTTCTTTTCTTTTTTAAAAATAGGGATATAATTTCCAATATATAGGAGATGATGTTCCTGATGTCAGTGTCTGCTTCTTCCTGTAGAAATAGCCAGGAGCCTCCCCTCCTCTCCCCTCCCCTCCCCTCCCCCTTCTCTCCTCTCCTCTCCTCTCCTCTTCTTTTCCCCTGAATCCTGAATACCAACCAGAAATGAGTGTATACCATTACAAGCAGCTCTAACTCTTGATTCTTGACAA